ACTGGTCCAGTCTCGGTTCGTAGCAGTATCTTATCCAATCCAATTCTCAAAAGAACGGTGCATACTCAACACGCACACTTAGAAGACACATGAAGAAACAACCAAAAGGCGTGTGTTTTACGAGGGAGACGGCCTGGCCCAATAGATAGACCGGTCTATTTCCCTTCTTCCACGGGGTCAAAGAATGTCAAAGAGGGGTCGCTCTCCCTAGTTTCATACACCCATATGAGCACGAAGACTTCAGGACCTGGTGCATGAATCTGAGGATTGGGGTGGGGCTTTGATGACCCCATATAAGAAGAAGTGTTCATCAAATAAACGTCAGATCACTAAACTGAAGCCGCCGTGGTTCTCTTGGTCTCCGCTGCAAGAACACAAGAACACAATACAAGCAATATCAAACAATATGGTGGTCATTGACCTTGAACAGTGACACTCCCAGCAGCAGTACCTGATTCTTTCTCCTCCAAGTGGCATACACAAAGGTTGCTGGGCGCAGAGCTCATGGGCGCCACCCCGCCGCTGAATTAGGGGCTTCTCCTCTGTGCCAAGTGCGCAGAATTGTCCTTCCTTCAGCAATCCCCTCCTCGCTGCATGTGCATCAACCCGCTCATAATGTTTTCTCCCCTGCAAAGGACCACATGGACCCCCAAAACCCGTGGGTTGTAGAGGAAAATGGTCGAAACATGTCGAAACAACGGTTTAATTTTCAAATTCCATGTCAGTGTCCAGGGGGGTAGGGTATTGCATGCACACCAAGACGGAGTGTAGAAAGATTCCAAAGGTGGATGCCTCTACCCTGCAACCCACAACATCCACAACTACATTTATATTCATTTGGACCCGGACCCGAAAGCACATGGTCGAAACGGCCTCCGATCTGAGGAACCCGCGAGGAGCGATCTGTTCGGTGGGTTTCCCCACGCTTTCGGCTGGAGTGGAGAACACGACGCATGGCTGATTCGGTTTTGGCATGGTTTGGCCCTTCTGCCGCATGATTTTTGCACGTTCCCAACTTTGGCAAAATCTGGGCATCTCGCCATTCCGGCCCCCCCAAAAAGTCGTCCTGCTATGTCCCGCTGTAAGATGTCTAAATGGTTTCACTTCTGTCAAAACTGAAACAGCATTGATGTCAACTGATGTGAAAACATGTTCCCAGTCTCCTAAAACCAAACACACACCATCGCTGTGCATCGTTCATCGCCTTGCTCAGCTCTGTCCCCGCTCGAGGCTCCACGCAGAGAGCGCTACCCGCCGTGGGGGCCTCGTCTTTGACCGGAGCGACCTGACGCAGGGCGCCAGGTGGCACGTTCAGAGTCGTCCAGCCTATGCGAAGAGAAGGCTAGGTTAGCATCTAGGTGTAGGTTGTAGCCTGTAGGCCTTTTCCAGAGTTCATGGGATCGTTTGCAATAGGTCCAAGTTCGAAGTGAACGGTTTGTGAATTTCGTGGACAGGATGTAGATGGGTTGTTTTCTGCGACCACGGGAGGTGTCTCAAAGGAGTATTATACGCTTGACACATCCATAAGAAAATGGGATGGGGGCTTAAGGGTCAGAGATTCCATTTATAGGACAATCCTTCTCTTCAAATCCGTGCCTCGCCATTAGAGAGCTGCGGATGCTATCCCAATCAAATTCGGCATGTTGTCGGGTCCATGGAGTTTGGAGGTACCCAAGATCAGTTCAAGATTGATTTGTCATTTGCCAGTGATGGAGGCATGCTAGACCTGAATGTCTCCCAGGTCAACAAGAACTCAAAGAACACCGTCGCTTAGGTCTTAGACCCAGCTGGAGCATTCCTGGTACCAAAAGGGGTACCCAGCATGCCCTTCCAAGTTGAGGCTACGCAACATGGTACAGATTCGTCCGACTGATGGACCTTTGTCTGGCGGGATTCTCGTCGACGTGAGCTGAACCTTTGAACTCCAATGGTCCAAGACGTAGGAATCATCCACCGTTACCGGCGCACAGCAACAAACAACTGAATGTTTCTTCGCCGTTTGAGCCACAAAACATCTAGTAAAACGAGGTAGAGGGCTGGAAAAAGTTCGAGCAGCTGGGACAAATCCTGCACCGGTTGAGGTAGGGACAACCAGCAGTTCTTCTTTCAACAGTCCCTAAGGGTAGGAGCGTCCTGAGGATGTCCTTACATAACTCCAAAGACCTTTCTCTGGAAGCCTGATCCCAAACACTCCACGTCTGGCAAATATTCACATATACACAATCATACATGCACACGTTCACTATATCCTAAAAGTCTGAATATATAGATATATAAACAAAACTTTCAATTATATATTGTATATATTATAGTCCCGAGTACCTATTAAAAAAGCCTGCCCAGTTATAAAGAACACCACGTCCGAAGCCCTAAGTTCGGCTTATATTTGTTTTTAAATTACCGCCCTTTCAAGCCGCTACTAAGCTGCCAACATGGTTGATTTTGGGGGTAGTTTCCTTTATTAGGTTCCAAAAACAACCGTAACTGCCCACATCTGTCCGCCCTGTGTATCCACCATGACACGTGGCGTTTACACCAGCAGGTTTTCCTTCCTCCAATGGCACGGACTCACGCAAATGCACTTCCCACCGAGGTCGTGCAAAACCGCATGGCACAGCGACATCACCTTTCGAAAGCTTTGGTTGTTATTCTAATGAAGAATCCGTATTCCAATAAAGTTTTTTGTAGGGGAAAAGGAAGACCCCTCGATCTGGAGGTTTTTTGAATGTTTGATACGAGTTTAATAAAGGATTTTATATAGATTTTTTCTGGATGACTTGTTGGTTTCGAAGCTCTTCCCAGGTGACCCTATTTTCGACCCCCCCAATTTCAGGGACCCCCTATTTAAAAAAATGCGACCGAGTTTCTCTTAATATGGGGGGGGACCCGCATGTTTTTTAATAGGTGGACAGGATTATTCTGCATGCAATATGCCATGCATGGAGTGTCTGGGTCTGGGGATCTACTGGATCTGTATCATTTCTCACTGGTCCCACCCTCCCCATCCAACACCTCGCGGCGGTCGCGCCGCCATCTGGACCTCATCCGGAAGAATCATTGGGTGGAACACCAGCCCCACAGCAGAGTGGAACACCAAATGTTGGGTGACCTCCAAGGGTCCAATGAGGTGAGTGCAACCTGACCTCCATCCCAATCTTCAAACCAGTCACGCTGAGTCACGCGTCTCGTCGCACACCGCACCGGAAAGCGAAGCCGAGACCCGGGTAATTCAACCAACCGCCACCTTCACGACGCTTTCATATCGACACGTGTCAAGGTGACTTCTGGAGTGTCACTGAGCCATTTACAGGCCCAAACTAGTATGTGACCTTTGAAAACCAACGCAGTGACTCTGATTCAACACTTTTTCAATCCTTCTCTCTTCCCAGAGTCTTGGAAGCAGTGACATATGGCCAGAATTCAGAACATGATCTTAGGTCGTGAGCTCACACCCACAATTAGCTCCCTTTTGCTGCTTTTCACCCTTTTCCCCTTTTTCCAGATCTTCATATCCAGCTTGTCTGACGTCTCCGACGGCTTCTTCTCGCCCTCCATGGCCTGGCGTTGGGCGTCGGAGCGGAAGGATGCCGAAGTCTCCGGCTCACATGGGGCTGGGGCGCCTGTAGCGGGAGATCACGAGGAAACACACGCCCACTGGTGTCCATCAATCCCACGCGGAACGAAGCGTGGTCCTTTTTTGATACAGCCATCACCCCAGGTGACTTACTTTCTTCCAGTGGATCGGTTTTTGCGCTGGCTTGGGAGACCACTTCACCAAACGATGGCCTGAGTCCACGGAAGTGTACATATCAAAACGGCATACAGGAACGTACTGTTGGTGCCCAATGTTGATTTGAATTGGTCTCAATCGTTGTCAGTTCTAGTGACAACAGTACAAGATAGTACAAGAAGAGTCAGAAGCGCTTCTCTTCTTAGAGTGCAAGGTGGTTTTGGTAGAGATGCTCTCACATGCTCTCTCACTGCGGCCTCCTGCTCTCTCCAGGCGCCCTACACCTATAGTACCCACTTCTCTTGGTGCACAAAGCTTTAGCACGATCCTAGAGTCCTAGACCTCGCTCAACCCACCTGAAGGGATTCAGAACACCAAACACGCTGCCTCGTGGCTACTCGACATCGAGCCGGATTCGGTTTGAGCCATTGACACGAGCGAAGTCATTTTAACGAGCAGCTCCCAAGGTCAATTGTAACAATGGTATCCAGTCGTTATCTTTTATGCGCATAACAAACGGCATATTCCCTCTACGTTCCCTGTTCCCTGAACGTAGATCCCTAATCATGGGAAAACCAAAAACAACATGGAGCAATCCCAGCTACAGTAGGCAACCAATGGCAAACAATGGTTCCAAAGACCCTTTTAACACCTATATAAACAGTATTAAAAAGTGAGACTAGCTGAACCATTGGAGGTTTCTTGGCTACAACCCAGAGCTTAAAGTAAAGAGACATTGAAAAAAGGCATATCCCATTCCCTGTGGCCCTGTGGCGGGCCAAGGTTGCAACCGACCGTTACCGACCGAAATGGGACGGCCCTCACTTCAGGTCGGCCGAGATCCCCCTCTGTCTCTGACCGCTTCACGGCTCAACACCTTCTGATCTTGTAAGGCTGCGGTCTTTTCGGCTGCACACTAAGTCACTATACCCAAAAACGGTGTGTGTGGAACTGAATAAGCAAAACACTCCATCTCCCTACAGGTCACCAAGAAAAACCATGTCACTACAGTCACTGTGTCTGGTGTTCCACCCCTACAAGCCTCATGTTGCGTACCACATGGCCACATAGCCCATACTACTCTTTGGGAACCACACAGCCAATCGATTCAAACAAGGACAAATTCGGGACCCAAACCGCACAAAGACCTGACCCTGTATAGGAATGGCAAAACAAAGGCAAGGACCGGCAAGGAAAGAACCTAACCATGGCCAGGGCCAAAAATATAAAAGTATCCAAAAGTGATTGACCCCACCTCACACACCCATTTCTCACGCTGGCTGGCGCAGTCAAATCTTGCGTCAGCGTGTGAAAGCTTTCTCTGCAATGTACAGTCAAGTTGCGTGGTTCCCTGTTGGTTGCGCAAAAGAAGCATCACTTGGCAGCTTCACTCGGCTCCATTAATGAACAGCATCTTTCAACGGACTGCTCGAAATTCGCTCCAACGTTGGAGCCACCAACGTTACGCCACCCGTTTCTTTGGCGCCCTGGACCTGCGACAGTCAGACATCCGGGTCCAGTTGCAACTCTGCCAGCCTCAAGCCGTGCGAGGGTGCAGGCTTCAAATGAAGCCTCCGGCGATGCCAACCACGATAAGATCCCACAAGCACTCGCTCCAAGTTCCTCAGCATCAACTCCCCTCGGCCGATGAGGACCAGTGCGTAGACCAGGTAACGCACCATGCGGTACAAGAAGCTCTCGCCGGTGACACGGATGCGGAGTACTTCTTGCGCAGGCCAAGACTCTCGCGGAACTGCAAGCACCTGACAGTTTGTGGTGAAGCACGGTGAAGCAGTTGTTGTTTAAGAGGAAACCATTGAAAACAGCGAGGAGTTTCATCGTTGGCCCATGAACGAAGTGTGGAATGATGGTCCATGAATTTATTCTGCAGGAACCTGTTGAATGTCCCCGTCAGTTGAGAGCGGACTCGTCGGAGAACTCATTGACCCGGGTGACTTGGTTTTCCTTTTGCCAGAGGCACGCGTGGGGGCTGCCTAATAGGATCCACTAAGGTTTTGGTTTGTTTAAGATCCTTGATTCATGGAGACATTGCTATGGGGCTCAAACGGTCTACTAAGTAGTTAACCCTAACCGGTCCAGCTTGATCGCGCCTCGTCGATCTGAAGGCTTGTGAGGCATCGGATGGACTCTTTGTCCCGTCCATGTTGCGAGGTGAAGGCGCTGAAGTCATGCTGACCCACCAAGCGCCCCGCAGCGAGCTGCATCGCTTCGCGCGCTCCGACATCGAAGCTCCAGGGAACGTGCCAGGCGAGAAATCCCTTGGAGTTGCCAAAGCCAGAGCTGTCGAAGTCACACTCGGGCACCAGGAAATACTCGTAGCTCTTAGATTTACTCATCTGCGACAGAAAACGTCGGTCTTCCCAGTGAAAACGATACTTCTCTGGAAGTGGTTGCAGCAAGTCTACAAAAGCATGATGCCCTCTATCCTTTAAGCACTGATTAACCAACTTGCAAAGACTCGCACTGCGATCATCTTCGCCTAAAAACTCCGTCCCGTTCGGTAGGATGGCCGCCATGTAGTTGCCATCAGCCCTGACACCCTTGTCCGTTCTGCTAAGCAAGGTCACTTGGACTTGAACACCATCGCCCAGGATGGTCTCGAATGCACTCTCCACAGCACCTTCAACTGTGTGACACCGATCATGAGATTGCAACGGGTCCTTGGAATTATAGCAGGAGCCTTTTGGAAATGAACCATCATAGCTCAACCCAAGCAGGATATTGAAGACCTGCGCGCCACGTGGATCTCCTGTGGTTTCCAGTGCTCGCCGTCCGGACTGCTCCCGGTCCGTGGGTCCCGACCGGGGCGTGAAGCTCCCGACCCATGGGGTGCAGAAACAAATCACGGAAAGAGTCCAAGAGATCGGCATGAGGAAGCTGGGTGGCATGAATGGCTGGCCTCCGCTCGGTTTTGCGCCCTGCTCGGAACATGGCAATGTCTCATGATTCCGAATTCATCCGAAATATCCATAGCACTTCAAGCGAATTAATGTTCGTTAGTAAGGGGGGATATCTGCAAGCGGCAAGAGTCTCTAACCACCACTATACCAGTGACATACTACCACTATACCAGTCACTTCCTGCTGATTGCGTGGGATTAATTTGTGCAAAACTCATCGGTGCACAGCTGCATCACTTGAGCCAAGTGCACAGGCCGAGCAACATCTGCGCGTCAAGCACACCTATCAATCAGCCAAGCAAGAAAGCAAGCACGTGGATGTATAAGTCGTTCCTTTCTTGATGCCAGGCTGCCACTTCCAATCTTTCAGGCTTGGCAACTCTAGGACTCTAGGCTAAGGCATGCTAAGGCTACATGCAATTGCTATGTACAGTGCATAGCCCAGTTGAGCCAGTAGCCCAGTCGACTCATTGAAGCGTTTGTTGTCTCAAGGCGTGAAGGTGCCAAAGAACCACCTGGGCCAAAGAACGGAACTCGGCACTGAGAAAAGAGAACGTCAAACCGGAACTCGCATCATGGTTTTCACCCAAAGAAACAAGCGGTTCATGCATGTTCACTGCATGTTCATGCGCTTTGCCAGCTCAGAACATCCCAGCAAATCCACGGGAAATGATGGGTTTCCGCCCATCTTCACAGGGGAGAGCACGACGGAGAGTTTGGACGTGGCAGGAGAAAGCCAGATGCACCGGCAGGCGGGAAGCTTGGCTGAAAAGGATCAAGCAAGAACAAACACTGAATGGGATCCAAAAAACCTTCAGTGCCTTCAGTGAATGAACGGGGACTGGTTTCATCTTGTTTCATTCCAAATGGATGAACGTGGATTAATAAACATTCCTCAACCTCCATGGGATGACCTTGCAAAACCATGCAAAACAACCCAACCCAAACCCCCCAACTTGGCCATCTCCGTGGGCCGTACGTAAGCGGCCCATAGGCCCGGCCCGGGCGCCTGGAGCAGGAAATCCAAGGCCACCCACAGGCTGTGGATGGCGTCCAGGCCATGTCGCAGCTCGAGCACCCAAAATCCTCGAGGCGCAACGCAGTTTCGGAGCTGTTCAACGAAGTTCTGACATCGCCACCCTGCTTTTTTGGTGTGGCTTGCCTGACGGCATGTGCTGGATGCCAGTGCCTGCACCGGGATCAGCATCTCAGCACCTTTGAACTTTTTTGGGACTTGGCTAATCTATGGCTCATCTCAGCATTTGGCGAACTGCAGAGAGCACCTCATTGGTCACTCACCTCTCATCTCACCAATGGTCACATGGTCCCAAGATCGGCCGGTCGTCACCCATTGGTCCTCCCAAGAAGAGTAGAATGGGATCTGCCACGGTCATCACCCAGATCGGACGATGTTTACAGATCCCTGACTTTTTCCGGTTCGAAACGATACAACACTACAGCCCACGAGCCACCCTGGGTCATGAGGCTGGGAGAGTGTCAAAAAGGGGAAACGTACCATGACTTCGCACGAAGTCAACCCCAGATTGACCAACTAAGATGGTTGTTTGAGATGCCGGCCCCAAAATCCTGCCCCCCATCTGCAACTAGAATGGTCCAAAATGCTGGGGTCACTAAGAACGTCGGCAGCTTGCTTGACGGCATGTGTGGCTTGCCTGAAAGCCCAAAGCCCGGTCATCAATCCCTGCACTGGACGTGGCATCATGATAGCGCGGCCATACATGCAACATCATCCATGGATGGAATGCAGGCCATTGACCCATGAAACCACTCCAATGTAGCGTATATTAAATATCATACAATGGATGAGTGTCTCTCGGCATCAGAATCGCGATTCGAATTGCAATTCCACTGACAAACGAGATTGGATCCCCTTCGAGTTCCCTTTTTAGGACAACGAGCAGTTTCTTCTGTTAAGACCTGTTCCTGATTTGTGCTACGGATGAACCAAGAGGTCCGAAATGAGGTCGCTGGGTGGTTCCCGGCAGGAGGGCTAGCTACCTCTCATCCGGTGTCCAGAACACCACGACTTCCCGGTCCCTTGCTCGCTTCCAAGCTTCGCACACCCATTCCTGCCATGAATCGGATCGGACAGTCTGCAAAGAGCTGGCGAGGAACTTCATTCGATGTTGAGGGTGCAACTAGAGCTGCTAGCTCATGAACCACTGTTGGCGAACGAACCACTGGTTGCCTCCAAATCGAAGTCCAGGATACTGCTGGTGGCGGGTTCTCATGGGTCCAGGGTCATGCATGATTCACGGCTTCCCAATTCAATCCCACATGTCAAACCTGAGTAAATGAGGCCATCGAATCCATTGGCATGTGGCCAAAAGCATCCAGTTGTCCAACGCAATCAGTATTAACATTGCTTGCTTTGAGCAAGTGAACCTGCGCTCCAGCTTGCTGGGACATGTCAAACCCAAAAGGGAAAACATGAAAACAATATATCAACACAATCATAGGGTCTGATATTTGCTGCTCTTCATTGGTTCATGAAAAGCTTGGACCGTCTTTTTACCAGCAGCTTGCAACAGGTGACCTTCTGATTTCTGACCCAGCTCTTCTATTTCCCTACAGATTGGCCTGTCTGATCTCCTCTTATGGTCAGTTCTAACCTGTACACCAGTTCCTTCAAGCCTCGAAGCCCTTGAGCTGTTAACATGTTTATACCTCATTCTCTCAAAACATCGAATCTCTTCAGATCCTCTAGAGACTAAGTCTCTAATCCTCCGCCGCGGCTCTCCATCTCCGCGGGCGCAAGGACAGCCCAAACCGGCGCATGAGCACGCGCCGTGGACAGCCCAACGGGCGAAGCAGGGTGGTCAGGAGGGAGGAGAAGAGCTCATAGAAGCTGGCGATCCTGGAAACAAAAAATCCTTCGAGCTTCGGACCCCAAATAGATCGGAACCCTGGAACAAGACCGGAGGAAAAAGGTCGCCGAACAAAAGGATCCGAAAAGAGTCTCGGCCGCCGATCGATGTGGTCTGTGCTTTTCTCATTGAAGTTCTTTCTCTCAAGGCTTAGGTGGCCCAGCTCACCGAAGAGAGACAGAACCGCAAACGGTTCAATGTGCCAATGTGCGATCTTTCGGAGAACATGACGGAACATCATGGAACATCTCCATCTCCCATGCATACCATTTCAATCCATTTCATACCCCACACATCCAATCAAATGTGTTCTTGGAGCCGATTCATCCGTATTCTCCATTTTGGAAGGTATGCAGTCCACCAACCAAAGGCCAGTTGTCACGTGGATAAATGAGATGGTATACTAGGTATACCTCTTACAGAAGGGGCTGGGGTTTAATCCACCGCTTCTCTGGGTGGTTCTGTTTCACACAAATCATAGAGGCAGATCTGTGAGGTATTTGAAACTTGTCCTATATATATATATACTCAGTGTTCGAAGAACCAAAGCAGCTCGAGGTCACGCAATTCACTCAGTGGATCCATTGGGCATAGCACCACTGGAAACAAGGCTCTTCGCATCAGACAAAGGCTGGATGCTCCGACTTGTGGGTTTGGAGAAGCTTGCTCTACCGTGGATGTACATGTTTTGTTGCTTTAAAATCATAATGAAATTATATATATATATATTCAGATATGTATTATAACATATACATATACATATAATTACGCTATATATATAAAATATATGTTTTTCTCAGTCTAGAGTCCAGTAACTAGTATATTAATATCCAATTCCAGGCTTTGCCCGCATGCGCGCCGTCCAGCCCAGGTGCCGCAGCCGCCAAAGCTGGTGCAGCAGCTCCGCGTCCAGCGCAGCGTCGACGCCGCGCGAGCGGCGTAGCTCTGCACCAAGCGACTCCGAGAGCTCTGGCGTCATGGAGAGCTCAGTGGCCAGACCGGTTGGAGATCGGGGTGCCGGACTGTGGCGGCAACCCAAACCCTCCAACAAACGTAAGACTGGATCTTTGGACCGGCATTCACTGGTGTTTGGGAATGTGTTTGGATCTGCTTTTATCTTCGCGTCAGATCCTTTATGTTCCCACCATTGAGTGACCAATCCTCGGATGGGAAATATACCCTGGTCCTGGATGTGGTGAACCCATCTACGGCAGTACACATTGCATTGTTGTCTTCAATCTTCCACCAACAAAAGGCTACAGAAGGAGAAAACAATGAGAGTTTCGCCACCAGCAAGTGGCGAAACGGTGATATGTTTCCGGACGCTTCAACTTGCTGGCAGCCAATGATGGGCTTCACGAGGAAATCAATCAGGGAATCTGATGCACCTCCCCAAGCACTACTGTCTGGCTTCACTTAATTTTTTTTTCATGGGTCCTCTCATTAGGGAATCCTAGTCCGGAACACACCAACCCCTAGGCTTCCAACAACCATTAATTTAATAGGCTTTACCGAATCAACTAAGGATTTTACACTACAAAAACCAGGTCAACAAGTTTTTTTAATGGTCTTGGAAGTCAAGGACACTGAATATCCATCAGCTCCAAGCATGTCAAACCAAGCTCAGTTTGGATAGTCAAATCTGATAGACCCACGGCCTTGGCACCCAGTGGCAAAACGTTTCAGCTCCAAATCTCCAAAGCCTTGCCACTGTTGGATCAGGAGTCCTCAACACGGGGTCAGACGGACATGACCATTCCCTGGTGAATGATCTTCCACCTTGACTGACCTGGATGTCTAGACAACCCAACAATACCAACCAGGAGTCACAATCAGGTCGTTAGTGGATGTTGTTTGTGGTCCGGACGAAGTGAATGTTGTTTTGGGCACCCCTATCCTCCAAGTTCGGCACACCTTTGGAACTGAATACATGCCAAGTACAAAGTCTGAAAGCCAGTCTCCCCTGTGTTGTTTGACTGGTGCACCAAAAAGTGGTGTACCATTGACTGGTTTTCAGGTCCTTCCCACGGCGTTGCTTCAGAAATTCCTACAGGTCTCCGTCGCGGTCGCGAGCTGGAAAACTGGTTTCTGCATCAACTGTGCTTTGGGATATGCTGTGGGATGCTATGGGTAGGGTCAGGGTCAGGTGAGACGAGTGAAGAGGGACAACAGATGACAACAGAACAAACAAATGGGTCCCTTCTTGGATCAGGGGCCCCCTTACACATACCATTGACCTAGAAACCTAAAGAACGAAGAGGAAATGGAGGATGTGCCTGTAACTATGTTTGGTCTTTCAAATATTTGTTCTTTTGGCCGGGTCTTTCTTCCTGGGATGTTTGTTATTTCAATGCTGTAAGACCCAAAAAAACATAATACTACAAACAACCAGGTGTGTTTGGAAATGACGTTCATAAATAAATATATATATATATACAATTGTTTTTCATTGTTCCAACAACGGGTAGTAATTACGCATACTCCATACACTCAGCTCGACCGAAAAAAATGGTCGACCCAAAGCAATTATAAGCAATTCATCTCAACTCATCTCCCGACGGATCTTGTGCTGAGCTGTTTTTGGGCTTCTCTCCACTGGGTTTTTGTTGGGAACAGGCGCCGAGCAAATCCGGGCCCAAACAGTGACGGGGTGCTCATGTGGGTTTGCTCCTATTTGTTCCCATGAATGTCTTCCTGGTTGGTTGGACAAACCCACACACACATGATTGCACATGTCCAATGGTGGTCGGGACCAAAAACAAAGACTTTCAAGGTGCACATACACAGATCGGCTTTAACTGGAGATTCGGGCTTTGGATGTGCGCGTTTTGCCAGATTTGGCTAAACAAACACTAAACCCCAAGTGATTGCATGCGCATTCGATCTTCATTCATACCCCCTAAAAAGAATTGACATTGTTTTCTGTCTCAGGCCCAAGCTCTGAGAAAAAACATATATAAAGACTAAGAGCCCCACAAACCATCAAACACCTGGCTTTCCCTAGAAAAAATAAACATGGTTTATATTTGAAAACATGTATGTATATATATATATATATTTATGGGTTTGAGGGCCGCTGGTAGATTCAGTTAAAAAACAAAAAAACAAAGGGCCTGCCCCTGAAACTACAGTAATTCAGGCTGATTGCTCTGTCAGAAACAGTGGTGATCTAGTTTATACATCTTCTCATGATTCATAGAACATTTGCACCTGCAATCCCAAACAACCATGCTTCAATTGATCCTTTCACCATCCAGCTTGTCATTGCCATGTTCATCTCCAAGCACCAAGGGTTTTCTTGGACATTCTCGGTGAACATGTCACGGAATCTACCCATCCATTGCCCAAAACACTCCATGCATGTCATACTTATATACTCGATCACATGGGGGATTTCTTTCAGGATCTTGATGTTCGTTGGGCAAACGGGGCACCATCTCCCTGAGACTTCTCACGAGAGACCGATTCCTCATGTCGGCATGTCGACATCCGTCAACCTACCATGACTTTGTTTTTTTTTGCGCCACGACTGTTTGGTGAGGCGCCATGACTCACAGCCTAATTACGTACTCCCCCTGTTTCGTACTGGGAAAACCGCAGTCCAGGAGGCCACGTCCACTTCCATGAGGACGTTGGAGGGAGGGTAATAGGCTATATATACGAATCTGCACGGGGTCGTGCGCCCGCGGTGTCTCGCCGGGAGGCGGAGGTCTTACGGTGTCTTCTTGTTCCGTCGATACGGCGGGTCCTTCGGGGATCGCTCTGGCTGAGGCCCATTCAGCCAAGTCCTCGGGCGTCGATGCCTGGCGTCCACGCCGCGTTCAGACCGAGTGGAGGCGATGCTGAAGGATTGGATCACCCCTTTTATTTGGGGTATATACACATACTATATGATATATATATATATAGAGTGTGTGGTCTTGTTGTCTGAGATGCTTGAGAACAAATACATTTGGAAGGGCACCAAAAGAACATGAAGGATTTGGTTTGACCAAGAGCTTCTGGCGCGGAGAATTTGTATGATTTTTCAGAGCTAAGGGGATTTGGAGATGATTGTTGGATCGCACAATCCCTTTCGGACAGGTGGGGATGGAGCCTGGAGGTTGGCACACGACTTCTCAAAAGCAGTCCTCATAGTCTGTGCGCAGTGTCTTCACCTAGTCTGACAAAGGTTCAAGAATGCCAACACCATACGTAAGAACATCTCAAGCATTATAAGGTCTTCAAACCTCCGGATGGCACGTGGGCGGATCATTGTATCGGACGGGAAACCCGGCACTTGAAACATAAACAAAGTAAATGATGTCAGAATGATACATGGACAACAAACGAGAAATATGGAACACAACATGGACAACAAATATTAGAATTATACAAGAAACATGCACAACACCTTGCACATTCTGTGCACTAATGGAGGTCATCGCCCTTCACCGGCGACAGTTGTAGTGGCAGGGAAATCTCCTCCAGAACTCGTCTTATCATATATAGACGAGAAACATGGAACAGCTACTTCCACACAGCCAAAACATGTTGAAAGGGGCTGGAATCATTTTGGGGGTGTACATGGGTTTGCCCTTTGGATAGCACCATATAACTTGTATAACATCATACCCTTTAGAAGAGGGATAGACACATACCTTTGGATTGGGTTGAAACAACATGGACATGTCATCGCTTCGGGACGTTTCCAACGTCGCTTTGGCCGGCTCGACATGGCGGGCGCCTCGGTCCCGTGGTACCCGGACACTCCATGAGACTGGCATATATACCTACATCGGGGTGGTTGAACTAGGGTGAATGTAGGCAAATGTCATACGTGGAGTGTCTGGATTATTAGATTATCATCTATTCGATCCTGACACCCCGAACCATGCTGCCTCCACGAACCATGCGTCCAACAAGTCATCCAAAAGCCGAGGGAACGGTTTCCTTGGCTGGCCAGGAACAAACAACAACGGAAGAGAGAATAATGAGGAAGGATGTTGATTCTGGATTTCAACAAGATTTGGGGAATATTGGGATCGTGAGAAATTGTTGGGAATGTATTCCAGTGTTGTAATCCCACATGTGCAACCCAATAGTGGATTCAACTATATAATGTATGTAATGTAGTCTGGATGAGTCTGGCATGCTATGTGGCACAATAACCTCGACATGCAACACATGTCACGTCACCTCACTTTTGCGTACACTTGTTCGATATTCCTTCGATGGCTGTGCCCAGCAGTTTACCCACTAAGGGTATCACAGGGATACCGAGGGATACCGAGGGTGTCCATTCTTCTATATAGCTCCCTCGGATCAGGACTCGTACTGGTTGCTGTGTGGGCGGTTGACACTTCAACCCTTGGGTTGGTTGGTTGGTTGGCTAGCCTCTGGAATGGGTCACGTGGTGCATCCACCGGGTCAGTGCGGATGGACATCCAGTGGCAACGTCCCTTTTTGGCCTGGTCAACATGATTCGAAGTGAGAGCTCTGAGCGGTTTGAAGTTTGAAGTCCTTGAGGCTGCCGTCCACCCTCTCAATTCCTTGCTAAAGCAAGAGAGACTCCAGCTAGTTGAGGCTAGCTTTCATGAACAGGGCTCTAGTGGAGGGAATTTCAGTCTCATGGTACTCCCTGAGAGTCAAGTCATGACTCATTTTACCCCTGTGGTAGTGGTGGATTGTGACTACCAGGTGGAGTAAAATGGGTCAAAACGGAAGTTCTGGGACTGTTGAGGGCATCCTTTGGGGGATCTGTCGGGTTGATCGATGATCTACATCGCGCCCGACAGATCTTCCGGGATCAAAGAGAATCACATCCCAAAGACACATAGCATGAGCAAATTCCTCTGTAAGTAGCTGATAGGATCTGAAAAAATCCGACAAACGTGCTGAAGTCAGTGTGTCTCGACCCAAACGACGCCTGGGTGAAGTCAATTAGGAGGGCAAGTCAATCATGCGCAAAACGCACGAAAGGACCCTCATGAGGAAAAAGGTCTTCCGGTTTGTCTGGACGAGAGTTGCTGAACTTCAGGCCCTGTTGCTTTGAGAATGATGAATTCAGTATTGAAATGTATTGACACCCGAGACCAGCGGAACTGGAGTTTGTCGAAATCAAAGGAGTTCGTGGCATCTGCACAGGTCTTTGGGAAGGACTCGATATGGCTAGTGGCAGTTCTGGGTGAGCTCTGAATCGACGAACAGCTCCGCAGGTCGGTGGAGGATTTGGGCAGTGGGGAGCAGTGGAGTACTTGCAAAGGTGAACATGGACTTGAACAGTACTTGCTAGTTTTTTGCATCAGTTCAGGCCCATGGTTTCTGAAACAGAACTCCGGTGAAGGAGTTATTGAAACAGACCTCCTGCACCAGACGAAAAAGCTAAGGCCCCCCTTCATCCCTCCTCTTCCCGTTCGACCTCGAGCTTCAATGCCAAGGCCAAGGACACTTTACGGAAGCGCTGATCCCGGAGCTCGGCTCGCAGGGAGGACAGCTGGGTCAATGGCATCAAGGAGTCCTGTGGAGAAACTCATGTCGAGCGAAGGGACCCAGGTATAAGGGCAAAGACTGGAGGCACGAGTGGAGTGGTGAACCCTTGTGGAATCTGTTTGATAAAGAGATTGGGCCAAATGTGGTGTGCCTGCAAATACTGTCGATTCTATAGCCATGGGTCAATGAACAAACTTCTTCCCTAGACAATTAAGGATATATACAAGCATATTTTGAACTCTTTTTGGAATCCTTAGATTGATGTCAGAGTCCCATGCTCATTCGATAGTCATCTTCATGGTGCAAGCCCTTGTGACTGCTCTGGGTTTTTAGCTGTTGAGAGAAACAAGAAAGGCAGCCAACAACATGTCCCAAAAGCACTCCATGAAGTGTCCTCTCTAGAAAAGGTTCTGTCCTTCTGTTTGGGGAAACGAGCGAACCACTAGAGGGAACCCAGGGTTCACACGGTTCTGTTGGTTTAGATATAGATTCCAAACATTTCATGTTGCAAGAGCTTGACCAATGGAAAACCCCTCTTCAAGATTCTGGCCAGTGGCCAGTAATACCATGGCCACGGGTGTGATTTCTTTTGGCCCAAAAGGATCCAAAAAGGTGTCACCAGGGCAGCCGTGTGTGGTCCCCTTGCCTGCAGCTTGCGGGGGTGCACCGAAGCTGTGGGTCTCGTATTGGGAGCAAATGGATGAGCGGAGTTGGAGGAGACCTATATGGAAGAAGTGTCCAACTCTTCAAAAGGTGAAGTTTGAAGAGACCAAATGGATGTTTACAGCTGATTTTAAGGGGTATCCTGCTTAATACCAGGAAACATCCAAGCTTAAAACGAGCTGAGAAGAGTGTTTTTTGACATCTCCTTGTCTGGATCAGCTCAAAGATCTGGACTTCGGTCCCCAAAGTCTAGGTGGTCTTCACACCCTCAGCATCTCCCTCGATCTGCATGAGTCTCAGCTTGCCCGGGGATCTGACCGCCCGGGTCCAGCTCTTCCACGGTCCCGGTTGCACCTCACTGAGGAGCTCGATGATGTGCACCTCCGTCGGTTGGTATGCGAACGTGTTGGATCGTGTTGGTATGTGACCCGGTCGGCGGTGTTCTCAACGAACGTGGAGTATGTCAAACCTTCGAGGAACCGCCAAGGCATCCGTTGGCAAGATGTTTGGGAAAGAGACGCCATGGAGCGCCCTGATTTGGTGCACTTGGAGTCTCGGAATTGGTCAAATTTCATCTTCAAAGACTTGCGATGTCGATGATGTGTTGCGGGGCTTCGAAGGTCAAGAGTGGTTTCTCGGCGCCAAAAACCGCAGTGGCACCGCTGCGAATTTGCCTCATGTAGCCATCCCCAGGACTGGCAATCATCCAAAAGCTCGAGAAGTTGCAAATCCGCCAGGAGCCGCAAGGTGTCCTGCCGTCAAGATCCAAGGGCTTCTCAGTTTTTGTAGGATGAAAAGGGATCCTCATGTGAGTTGCTATAAATGAACAATAGCCTTTTGACCCGAACCGAATTTGGGGTTCGCGCACAAAAAGCGAAGCAGCCGTTCTGGCCGACTCCCAGGCTTCTGATGGATGGAGAAAGCTCAAACCTTCAAGTACTATCACAACATATCACAACACAAAAAAAAATATATCAAGCACGCCCTGGAAGACGAATACTTGTGAAGCCTGAAACCCACTAGTTTGTGGAGGAAGCTAGTCTTCCAAAGATCCCAATTTTCAGGCCCCATGATGTTCCATGTTAATCTTCCCGGGTGTATATCAAAATGCTGAAGAATATTCCTGTTTAGGTGATGGTGTTAGACTTCAGCATGAATTTTGAGCTCGGGTCTTAGATTTCTTGGCCAGTTCCGGACTGTGCAAATGGGCCGAGTCCATTTGCTCAGTTTGTTCACTCCATACCCCCATTTACAGCATGGATCGGTATGCTTGTGGCGGCTCACTGTACGAAATTTGGTCGGGGTATCGTCATAACGAACATTTACCTGCAAACAGTACATATGCGGCCAAGAGGCTTTTGTGTGTTTTTCATGTCAAAGTCGGAGGGAGAGTCCCATGATGCGCTTCATGGAATTCGTTGGGCAGTCTTGTATACAACCATTTTGATAGTAGCAAAGAAGGTGTCTTACATCGGCAATCATTAGGACTTTCCAAACACATCCAAAAAACCATGCCCAATCTTTGTCACCTCACTGGCTGCATGCAAACCATCAGAAAATTGTCAAACACGCCACACCTACTAACGTTGGATGTAGGTCGATCATCTCCTCCATGGCCGTTTCTTCTCTATATGAAGGGAACCCGCAACTTATCTGTCTTCTATCGCAAAACCCGGCAACTAACTGGCATCGCAACTTTGATGTCCCCAATTTGCCACCCTTGGCCAATCTCTACCCCGCTCAGAGAGAGGTTCCTGCTGCATGAGGAAAGGCTCTGAAGCCACCAGCTCTGCACAGTTGGCCACTACCAGCGAGACCAGGCGTGGCATGTGATGTGCAGCACGGAGCAAGCGCCACAAGGAGCCAGCCATGAGCTCTGGGTGCTGTGAGCCTCAGGATGCATTGTAAGATCATGCCTGGGAGCAAATGAAAAATCTCGATTTGTTCGCATTCATGGACCAACTACTATATGTTTATTCTTTGCAATTTGTGTTGTCCAAGGTAACATCGACAAATGAAAAATGAAATGCTAAGGCGCACCAAGGGCCAAGAAGGTCTTGAAGAACCTCCATCGCCAAAAGCCGCTGGTGAAGCTGAAGGAACTTTGGCCTCATGGCTATATCAGGAGAGGAGATGGTTTAATGGACATGATTGGAAAGGAACCCTCATGGAACCCTCCCTGCAGGGTGGCCTGGACTGCCGTTGACTGCCGTGCATCGTCGATCCCAGGAACGGCTGGCGCGTCCAACCCCGACGGAATCGTTCCCCGGTTCGGCGGTGGGTCGTTCCCAGCCAAGGGGTCGAAACGGTGGCGACACGTGGTGTCCCCAAGTGGCAAACCCTGCAGAATGGGAGTGCCAGGCTGCCAAGCAACTGTGTAATTCCCAGCCACTGGGTACTGACAATGGCCATGGACACTGACAATGAGATTTCCAAGCAAATGTGTTGTGCGCACATGAGGTAGTCACCAGGTCTCTGTATTCATCACATGTCTTCGCCAAAGAGCTTGATTCTGTGTTCATATGTATCATTATGTATATGCTTATTGTAGAATTGGAACTGTCATCCAAATCATAAAGTCATCTCTTCAACTGCTTCGTCTGCGCTGCAAGTGGTGACCTGCATCTTGGCTCGATCTGACCTGCATCTTGGCTCGTAGGCTCTTCTTTCTCAGGGAACAGCGCGGTGCTGGCGGAGATTCCCAGACCTCTCGTCACAAGCGGCTGGACCAGCACGCCTTGGGAAATAGGTTTTTCCTCGAGTGTTTTTCCTCTGTCACTATCCCAGTTGCTGACTTGAGTGCGCTGGACTTGAGTGCAGATTTGGGCAATCCCAAGCTGGTTCAACCATAATGTTGGTTGCTTCGGCGGTTTGCTGAATCACATCCATAACGGAGAGCAAACAATGACAAGTAAATTGAGTAAATCGTCCAAACATGCCATGTAACTCTTCCGTAACAACTCAAAGGCCCAGTTTTGGCTGTGCCTCATGGGCCCCGTCTCATCTGCCAACAAACGAAACAAGGAACTCTCTAGAACTTTGGGTGCCCAACAAAGACGGGAAGAAACCTCCCCGACATGTCTGGCACTGACCATGTGCAAACATGTGCACCAACGCGAAAGTAAACAAATATAACGGGACTTTCAGCTCAAACGGCACTTTCACCTCTCAGTCTCAGTATAAACCTGTCCGCTACTGAGAGTTCTGCCTTCTCTATCTTCTGTGCCCCACAATTGGTTTGCTCTTTGTTCTGGTTCCGATGTTCAATATGCGATAGGAAAAGATGGCCACAAGGTCACCGCCTTCATCGTTGAAATCTGGCACTGCCTTGGTGAAAGGCATTGCAGCAGTTTGTCCACGCATTGCTTCGTTGTTCCCAAACGAACGTCTCCCAAACGGGCGAACCAAACCCGCAAAAGATCGGCCTTTCGTCTGGCAAGACCTCGCTGGAGTGGAGTGTTGTGTTCGTCCGCACGCGGAGGTGATGAAGGCCTCAAAGAAATGGAACAACCCCACTTATGTTCAGTCCCTCCTCGTCGAGATTCCTAGCGGAGCCATCCTTCAAATCTGACAAGGCTTCTCGGAATGCTCTTACAAACATGTTGCCCTCACATGTTCTGGCGCAAACCGCTCTTCAGCCTGTGCTGGAGTGCTCTGCTCAAAGGTTGTAGCTATGGCCAGCCGCTCTCCTTCACGCTTGCACCAAATCCGTGATAGTGATAGCAAACAAATGCAAACCAACATGCCTGTGAAATGCAGCTAGATCTCAACGTGCAGCAACCTCAAGGCTCTGGCCATCTCAAGAGTAAGTTCCAAACGGCACTGCCGATGTGGACGGTCTGTTGCCCCAAGGTCTGCTGATGGCGGAACAGGCAACCATGTATGACATATCGCTGCTGCCACTTCAATCAGTCATTCTTGTCCATCGCCACTTGCTCAGCCTGGGGCGTGTTCATTTGCTGGCTTTCTGTCTTCGGTCTCTTCCGCAGCGTTGAGGTGAGCATCAGAACTGGCGTTGCGTCTCTGGCTTCAGAACCACCAAGTTTCGGAGATTTCAATCCTTTCAGTCGCATCAGTGTTTGTGTTTGATGTTTAAATAAGCTCCTGGCGTACCTGGGCACCTTTCCCCCAGCAAGCTTCTTCGGTTGTCTTGTGGCCACATGTGGCCACTTTCCGAAAACACTTGTAAACCGACCCGTGTCCTCCCAGTGCGGATGACTGAAAACTTGCTCTTGCACCGGCGACATCGCCAGCCACAATGGCAAGACTCTAATTCCAATTCAAACCAACATGAAGACTGCTCCCTTTAGCTTCTGGGAGCTACAGGATACAGGCTTGGGGAGAATTTGTTGGCCAATGAGTTGCCAATGAGTGGAAGTCTATATTGGAGTGGGGTTCTCAGGAATCTCAGACTAAAATCACGGCCACATGGATTTGTGTACACTGGATGCACTGGAATATGCATATATGCATAGGCGCATGTCAGCTGAGGTTCCACTTCACAGCTAAAAGATTCACTACATGAATGGTTGAAGGATGTTGAAGGTGTTGAGTCTGCACCAATCTAATCTGTGAATCTGTGACTATTTTTTTCTGTCGAGTAGCTCATCCATTGATGCTGCGTTTTGTAGCCACTCGACTTGACGAAATGTCTCCAAGATCTCTTGCTCCAAGTCCGACATCAAGTATTTCCTTGGCAAACACCGCTCTTATTTTTTGCAACGGTAGAAAACACCAACTGACCTCCTCCCACGTCTCTTCGCGGAGGCAACCACACATCACGGTATCTACGAGCTAGTGACTAGTGCTAGCTGGCCCCCCATTTTATATACCAAATACATCCAAATACCTCTCCATGAGCTAGCTCTCGAACTTGGATCTCCTCAACCTCGACCTCCGAAACCAGGGCGGTCTGAGTCGAGGACTCAGCCGTCTCTCCAAGCATCTGGTAGAGCTCCAGGAGCTGAATGTCTGCCTCGATGCCCAGCGTCTCCTTCCACCGATTCCGCCGGAGTTGCTGACTGCTCGCGCCAGCACCGATCGGGGACGCCACCCAGTTGGGTCGCGGTTGGTTCGCCCAAGTCCGAGTCCACGTCGAGAAGGTCGACGGTCGACGTCTGACGCTCGGGAGACCCCGTGTGGTCACGGTTCGTGAACGCTCACGAGAACTGTGTGGTCAGCCGGGATCCGGGAGTGGGGCGGTGATGATGGGATCCGGGCCATGGGTGATTCGAAAGACGGCCCGTCTTAAGGCGCACAATTGGTGGATTCTTTGGGGGTGCCGCTGCAAAAACAGTGAAAAGGAGATCAAGAACACTTATAATATGCACATGGATTCCCAAATGGTAGGGCCTCACTCATGAGTCTCCAGTGCTACAGTGAAGAATCATAGGCAGAGTTCTCAGAGTAGTTCTGTTCAAACATCCTGCACGCCTCAACTAGCCCGAAATACCCCCATGCGATTTCAACGTATTTCAACATATTTCGCTCCTGTGGAAAGCCATGGAGCTTGCAAAGGACGTAAGACCTGGGTGATGACACCAACCGGCAGCCAGCTCCAGAGAGCAGAGCTTGCTCTGATGCTGCAGGATCGCCCTTCAAAATGGTTTCTGGAAACCGGTGAACAGGTCTATGCAGTCTATGCTTCATGATACGGCTGTTGTAGCTTCTCCCCAAAAGCTCTGAAAAGAATGAAAACGGGAAAAGAAGTTGGGAAGGCTTGGGAAGGAAAGAAACACTTCCGAGCTCAGATCTCTCTGTGGAAAGTCCTTGCATGTCTTTGAGCATTGTGTCGTGTACCTTTTGCTGTAGATTCCCTCCAAAAGGCCACCTGTTCCAGTTCCCAAAGCTGGTGAGTGAAGGGCTTCTGATGTGCTCATCCACTCATATCCACTCTGTCTAATCACCCTAACTGGAACCAACGTGAATGCCTGAAGCCGTGACTCCAGGAGAAGCAAAGAAGCGACTCGAACTCGAAGAAGCGTCGTGCACGTGATTTTTGACGTATTAGATTTGGAAGGCATCCGCATCCACTGGGACCAGGAACAAGAAGCTATGAACAAGGCTCCTGGTCTTACTACTAGGAGCAAGGACGCTACGATCGGGGCTCCTGGCATCGCTACGAACGGAGCATTCTTACTACTACCTAGCTCCTGGGTCGACCAGAAATTTTTGGTTGCTTTGGTGAACGGCCACTATCCCTCCAAACGACCAGTTCCCTGCTCTGCTCAGGTGTCCAACCTGCATGGTGTCCAAATGCTCGCTTCTCGCAGCATCAAGAGATGGTCAATTGATCATCCATATACTCCAATTGTGCAATACATGCGTTTGTGATAAATAGTTTGTTCATAAATGTTCACTGATCACAAGTTTTCAAACTTTTGAGCTGGTAGATTCAGCAAAAGCATCCATGGATGAGATATCTTCGACATTCCGTTTCCTGCAATGGACATGACAGACCTGGAGTTTGCCTGCACAGGTTTTTCTGGCATGATTGTCCTGCCATCCCCTGCCGCCCATCCATGAACACCCTTTTCCACCACTTGAGCCAAGCCCATCCGTGCCAGGTCGGAACCTCGGATGGTCAGCGGCAACTTCATGAACCTGTGCCCTAAAGGGGGGCGGAGCGGAGTGGATCGAACACGTATATGCACAGGGGTCGCAATATGCCCCAAAAACACTTGCAGCTATTCCGGGTCAAGTCACTATGGGTGAAGCTCAGAAATTTTCCTTGTCGAGCCATGTACAAAAGCATGGGAGCTCTCGAGGTCAATCCGGTCGTTGGCAATTAAGGGGAAGGTCCTTCTAACTTCAGACCCGAATTCAATCCCAGCGGCCCCAGCGGGTGAGAAGTGTGACACGGGCTTGGAACTGGAGGAGCCACCTATATGCCCTACCTTGAGGAATATTCGACGCAACTACTACATTTTGAAGCCCTTCACCCAGCATATGGCTGATGCTGGCATCATCCGAACCAAATGTGTTAAACTTCTTAAGGCTCCTTTTGAGGCATTCTACAGCATGCATGAGAGGGATGTCTCAACGAGGGAGGCACTCTCTGTGATCGTTGCATGCAGCCACTTTACCAAGTGGCAATTGGGTGTTGTCAAGCGGAAGTGGTTGCGTTGGGAGATGCCACGGGTTCCCAGGCCCAAGTACAACTTTTCGCTTGTTTAGGGTTGGGGGGTTAGGTATATATACTATAAGACTTATCCATGGCCCTTATCAACGCAACTGATCAGTCATGAGGACAACTATGTGAGAGACCTTGTGCTGGACCTCGCCAAAGCCTACAGCAAAGCTATCGATGTATCTTGTTTGTGAATAGGTGACCCTCTTGTATAGTTTTTTGTCACTAGTAACTGCCCTCACTGAAAAGCTCCTGCCGGAAACAAATTCGTACACATTGAGGAAGGCAAACACCCTTTTGATGGTTATGAGGGCGGTGGTGACGTTGGTGATGAATATGGTTCACTTGATGTCGATCCCAGTGACTTCAGTATCCGCGATGCTTTGACCCGCAGCCATTCCATTGATGAAGAGACCCAATCCAAAGCTTGGCTGGAGCTGGCGGCTTTGGTTGAGTTGGACGAGGAAACCATGAGCGATGTAAGCCCCGATCCCGAGCAGGCGAGACCTCCGAAGTGCAAGAGGCTCGAGGAAGCCAGGCTCTGGAGGGTGAGACGCAGTTATGGACAGATTCCGTGCCACCGCAAGTCCTTCCATCGCCATCTTCCCCTCAGAGCCCTCCGCCAATCCAGCCGGAAGCCATCCAGCAGCTTCTGCAAGTGGTGAAGCAGAAACTGAGGCTTGGCACGGGTTTCAAGCGTTAGGGGCAATGTGGTGAAAGTCGGTGTTTGTACTTTATACATGCATGGGCTTGTGTCCGGTAGTCCGGTAGGTGCTCTTCAGACTCTTCGCGTCCGACTGGCAATGGCCATGAACCTGGTGCCTAGGTGAAAGTTTGATGAAGTTTGGTATGTCGTTCTCTGTGGTATTTGCGCCAACCTCAGATCAGAAAGATTACCTGTCAGGTGTATATAATTTTTTCAGGCCTTGCCGCCTTGGTGGTTGCGGTTGGTCTTGTTTGCCCATGAGCCTGTTAGGAAAGAGTCATCCTGCCGGTGAGATCGTTGTTGTGGACTCGCCTGAGAAGAAGATGGGGCTACCCAGCGAGGAGCATCCTGACCTGAAGGCCCAGCCAGCTCAGGTAGTGACGGAGGAGAACACTCACCAGCCTTCTGCCGCCGCCGCTGCACTGCGTGAGCAGTTGGAATCCACTGAGTCTTTAAGGGACGGGCTGGCAAAACCTCGTGCTCATATTCAATCAATATTGTGTATATGTGTACATAATATGACATAATAAATTAAGTAAAAAGGTTCCGTAATGCGACCATAGGCCTGCAGGATTCTCCAGGTGACATCCAGCACATTCTGCATGATCAGCAGCTTGCATTGGCAAAAGCCAAGAGTCGCAAGCGCACATCGAAAAGTGTTGAAGAAGATGAGGATGCAAAAGCACCCAAGAAGCCCGCAAAGCCTTCTCGCAAGAAGAAGGAGGTGGAAGAGGAGGAGGAGGAGCAGGCTGAAGATGATTTGGAGCGTTGTGAAGGTGAAGAGGAAGAAGAAGGTGAAGATGATGCCCCAGAGGAACCCGAGACTGAGGCTATGGCCAAGGGCGCAACACGGAAGGCAAAGCCTAAGGCCAAGGCAAAAGGACGGGCGAAGGCAGAGCCGAAGGGGAAGGCAAAGACGAAGGTGAAGGCAAAGCCGAAGGGGAAGGCAAAGCCGAAGGGGAAGGCGAAGGCAAAGGCGAAGCAGCAAGCGAAGCGGAAGCCCAGGAATCCGAGAGCAAAGGCAAAGGTGAAGGCAGGTGAGGGAGAGGAGCGGGCAGATCCTGAGAGGGCGACATTTGCCAAGAGGTACCGGCCATCAACAGAGCTTGGTGGAGCTTTTTGGGATGCTGTCAAGGACATGTACGACTCCTTTCTTCGCGAGAAGCTTCATTCCCATACCAAAGCTGAGGAGAGGTCTTCTTTGGTGTCCAGAATGGTACCTGTTCTGTTCATATGCTGAAGGATAAACAATGTCGAAGTAATCATTCTGATACACCCATTAACACCGCTCCAGGAGAAGTGGTGGGTTCAGTGCACATCCGCGGCCGGAAAGCCCTACAGGGTGAACAAGATTGATCAACCGCTTGCTATCGAATTCTTGAAAGGAGAGAACATCGGCCCATCGCCTGGACAGTCTTTGTCAACCTTTTGGCTCATCCCTCCTTTTGGATCAATTAGGGGTGTCCACGGGATTTTTTTTTTCTTCTTGAGGGACATTTTTCGGACACCACCCAACAAAACACAGTCCACCCAAAAGCACTTTGTCCAGGTAGCTTCCTCACCGAACTTGGCGAGAACTTTCTGAAGACCATCAACGCCGCCTGAGGTCATGAATGCGATGAGCGCGATGAGATGACAATATGGGTTGGGGTTCTGATCAACAATGATGAATTTGATTGTGACCTTGGGTCTGCAAACTATAGACCCAATTTTTGGATGTTCAAGCGTGCGAGTAGCACTAGGGGCTTCAGATATCACATGCAGAAAAGTAGAAACCATCTGATTCCATCGCCCTCTGCTACCAATCGATCGGATACCCATAGCGGTGCGGAAAAAAAAACACGCGTTTATGGGTGCAAGGGCGATCGATCGAGGGATCTAGCAATCCAACACAGGTTGAGAGGACACAAAGGGTCCACACTAGCCTCTAGTGTGGACCCTTTTGTGTCCTCTCAGCCTCTCATAGGATTACACTTTTTATGTATTCGACTTGATTGTGCCCACAGGTACATTCTCATGAATGACTACGGCGAGATTGCTGGGCTTCTTGCCTGGTCGGCCATCTCCGGAATTGCAGCCGGCAGGTGCGCTCAGCCGACAGGATGGTCCTGCGGAGTATGTGGGGAGGTGTACTGTATCGTGCACGCAGATTTGTTTGTGCAGGCTGTCTTGTGATGTTGTTGGTTGAACACTGCGAGATTTGTAGTAAAGCTGGATCTTAGCTTCCCCGGGTGACCGCTTAATTTGAACAAGTATGGCGCGCAAGTTCCCAAGCGTCGCTTTGAAGCTTCTCCGGATTGGGGCACCAAAGGCAGGGCTCTCTAACATGTGCTGCTTCACTTTCAATCGCCAATAGGAATGTAAAACGTCAGCCGTTCTCGCAGATGTTCATTCTCGCCATCTTGCTGTTGATGTGGAACACCCAAATCGAGCTAAACGAGGCAGGTTTTAGCATGCTTTCCAATTCATATTCAATCGGACAGCTAGTGTTTGGATGGTTGCAGTCCTACATGTTCATTGAACACTATGCCGGCTCTGGTGTGATGACGGAGACCCTGCGTGAACAGTATCCTGCGGCCAAACTGGATATTGAATACGGTCGTGGCATGGACATATGTACTTCTGCCGAGTTTGGGATCCAACCTTAGCTTCTTGTTTGTCTCAGGTTCACCTAGCTGAACCCTGTTCTTCC